TCACCGAGAAGGGAAAGGCACAAGGTGTGGTGGAGGTTATAAGGCATGACAGACACACTGGGCGGGGAATGGTGACGGGGAAGAGGATCAGGAGGCGTCGTGAAGCCTGAGGCATTAGAGAGGGACTTGGAAACCTGGGCAGAGAGTGGGACAGTGACTGCAGAGCACTTCAGTGTGCAGGTGGGCATGGCCGTGGGGACAGGAGAGTCTAGCAGCTGGAACACATGGTGTGAGGGGCCTGCAGGAGACCGGGGATGGGGGAGGTAGGCATGTGGGTTCTCAAAGAAACCCTTGGGCTCTTTCTAGGGTAATAGCAATTATTATTTCTAAGGAAAAAAAAAAAAAAGAAAAACCACTGGCTTTCTAGAAGCATGGCTATTAAAAAAAAACACAACTCCAGACCCCAATTAGGAAACTGAAAGGAAATCAAAGTGAGCTTAATGGAAATTAGGTAGTACGGGTAATAAAAGAAAATGCAAGTAGCCGCCTTAAATCCAGTGGACTCCGGCTCCACCAGCCAGGCAACATCTTGTTTTCACCTATAAATCAAGTATATCCATGACTCTCACTACATAAGATGTAAGTTAAGCTATCGTCCTTCTCTGCTGTGCTCTGAGAATATACTGATTTTGCCTCTGCCAGCAAAACAAATCTATAGACAGAAAATTCCTAGCACTGCTTTCATGCGAGGGATAACAAAGGTGACAGACGCTGGCAAAATGTTCACATTTATACGTGGAATGGAATGGTAACTTGATTTTTCAAAAGGATGAGGTTTTCATTACAGATGTAAGCATACTTATGAAAGAAAACTCAAACTGTAGTAAAATGTGAAAAGGCAAGGAAATTCATTGTCCCACTACCCAAATGACATATTTTTTTCCAGAATTTCGGTGTTATATAATGATTTTGGAACATGCTTTTCATACTGAATGGCTTCAGTATTTTTCCCTGCTCTCCTTCATTATGTTTATCAATGAGTTTGGGCAATCATATTGACTTTTGTAAGAGTCAGTTCTCTTTCGAACTCAGATTTCAGAAGGGGTGCAGGGAACCATCTCGATATAAGGAATGATATAAAGCTTATTCTCAGATACGTGTGAGACCGAAAACTGCTAACATTTGCAGAGCTTTGGGAAAACTACACATGGAGGTCTGAATAGCATATGTCTAAATAGTTAAAGTTTTTATAGATTAAGCTAACTCATTATTAAAGAAAATCTGTTCTAGCCTCCTTCCTTGATAAATATACCTTCATACCAGCTGCCCCTTGGAAACTATTAACTATGTTATGTCCTCTTGCCTTCATTACAGCTGCCCCTTGGCCACCCCTCTGGGCTGGGGTGTGTACACCAAGTCCTCTTGGGACAGGCCCTAAAAGCAGGCTTGGAGCCATTAGGGCCAGTTACCTGGAGCTTCAGGTGCACCTCTCTCCTCACCCTACGTGGATATGGTGGTCAGACGAGGGCCAGCGTGTAGTCTCAGCCTCATGGGCCCAGAGCAGGCACCCCTCTGGCTCTGGTCTGAGTGAATCATTCCATATTTCCTATGTGCAGGTCATGTGCTGGTTGCTGGGAACTCAAAGGTGAGTGAAAACAGTCGAGTGGGACCACACAGACTTCCAAATAAGTGCCGCCTAAACTAAATTTGCAACTCTGAGTTGACCCAGTCAGGAAAGTCAGGAGGAGGTAACTTTGCAAAGAAGGAAAGAGAATTTCAGGCAGAGAGAAAAGTGTGGGCAAAGTCTCGGTGGCGGTGGAGAGCACAGCCAGAGTGAGGCACAGAAGCCTAAGAGGACGTGGGGCTGAAGCCGCCGGGAGCTCAGGTGTGAGTTGGGCTGGACAGGCAATGGGCACCAGATCAGGAAGGACCTTGCTAAGAGACCAGGTCCATCTGCAGTGAAAGGCTTTTAGCTGGGGTCAGGAAAGGTACAGGTGTGGTGGAGGTTACAAGGAGTCACATGATCAGGAACAATAAGGCTAGACCAGACTAAATCAGTCCAGGATGGACCTATTTTTTTCCTTTTCTTTCGTGTGTGTGTGTGTGTGTGTGTGTGTGTGTGTGTGTGTGTATGTGTGTGTGTTTAAGAAAAGCAAAATATTTATTAGATACTCAAGTGTGAAATATGTAAATACCAAATAAACATTTGATAATATTAAAGAATTAATGTTTCCTGATAATGGCATTGTGTGATTTTTTTTAAACTTTTATTTTAGGTTTGGGGGTACATGTAAAGATTTGTTACACAGGTAAATGCATGTCACTGGGGTGTGTTGGACAGATTATTTCATCACCCAGGTATTAAGCCCAGTACCCTTACATTTCCTGCTCCTCACCCTCCTATCCTCCCCCTCAAGTAGACCCCTGTGTCTGTTGTTTCCTTCTTTGTGTTCATAAGTTCTTATCATTTAGCTTCCACTTATAAGTGAGAACACGGGATATTTGGTTTTGTGTTCCTGCATTAATTTGCTGAGAATAATAATTTGCCTCCAGTGCCATCTATGTTCCTGCAAAAGCCATAAGCTCATTCTTTTTTATGTCTGTATAGTATCCCATGATGAATATGTACCAGATTTAAAAATCCAATCTGCCATTGGTGGGCATTTAGGTTGATTCCATTAGACCTGATAATTCTTTGGAATAGTGGAGGAGAGGAGGAGATGGAGTGAGGCAGATAGGCTTCATGGGGACGTAGAAAGTCAGATGACCAGGGCTTTGGGGATGGATTGGTTGAGGAATGAGGGTGAAAGTAGGTACCAGGCATATATGGTTGGATGAACATGTATTAGTCTTTTCACAGTGCTGTAAAGAACTAAGACTGGGTCATTTAAAAAGAAAAGAATTTTAATTGACTTGCAGTTCTGCATGGCGAGGAAGGCCTCAGGAAACTTACAGTCATGGCAGAAGGCAAAGGGTAAGCAAGGCATGTCTTACATGGCAGCAGGAGAGTGGGGCGGGGGGAGCGCCACACTTTAAAAGCCATCAGATCTCATGAGAACTCACTATCACAAGAACGGTATGACAGAAACTGCCCCTTTGATCCAGTCACCTTCTGCCAGGTCCTGCCCTTGATAGGTGGGGATTACAATTCTAGATGGGATATGGGTGGGGACACAGAGCCAAATTATGTCAAATGGAATGGATGAGCTAGGGACACTGAGAGAGGTTGAGAGTTGAAGGCTGGGGAAGGTCATGAGCTCATTTTAGGACATGTGCATTTTGAGATACCTTTGGGACATCCGAGAGGGCAGCAAGTAGACATAAGCATGTACTGCCAAGCTAGGAAAAGAGGTTGGGGCCAGGTGCAGTGGCTCATACCTGTAATCCCAGCAATTTGGGAGGCTGAGGCAGTGGATCACTAGAGGTCGGGAGTTCAAGACCAGCCTGGCCAACATGGTGAAACCCCACCTCTACTAAAACACAAAAATTAGCATGGTGGGGTGGCATGCGCCTGTAATCCCAGCTACTTGGGAGGCTGAGGCAGGAGAATCCCTTGAACCGAGAAGTGGAGGTTGCAGTGAGCAGAGACCGCGCCACTGCACTCCAGCCTGGGTGACAGAGCGAGACTCACTCTCTCTCAAAAAAAAAAAAAAAAGAGATTGAGGCTGAAGATTTAAAATATGTAGGAGGCATCCACATGGAGTTGGTGAGGTAAGCCATGGAGGTGATACCTGAGGAAAGGTACTTGCCTGTTCACCTGGTAGAAATGAAACAATCCAAGCTTTCCAATGCAGATGAGAACTTTAGAAATGAAATCACACAACCAGTGAACTAAAATGATAAACCTTCTAGCACACTTGCATCTGACGTTTGTCACTGTTAACAGGCCTGTCATACATAAATCACTTGCATCCAAGGAGGACTGTGGATGAGTTGGTCACCCTGCACAGGTCTCTTTGTATCTGTGAGTTTAAATCAGGATCTTGTTACTTGCACACCATTTGGTGGTGTGTATTTGTAAATATATCTTGCCAACATATTTTATGCTTCAGTTAATTTAGTTGACATCTAATTTAGTTGACATATAAAAATAAAATCAATTTTCAGACAAAATACCCATAAAATAAGTGAAATGCTATAATAGGTTTCAAGAAATTAAAATGTAATATATTTAGGCTTCTATTCTAAAGCAATTTCATCTAGAATAGCAGATATTGTAGATGTAATTTTTTTCTACAAATTCCTGTCAATTATATCATAATAAATGTTGCTACTATATATTCAGAAATGTATTGCTTGGAGTAGTTTGTCATAAAAAAATGCAAATTTTTGTTGGAGTTTTCTTTAAAATGCCAAAGAGCCTAAATACGAATACTTTATGTATTGATGTTCAGGCTGTAATTAAGCCATGACAATGATTATTACTTTGGATGTAAACACTATCAAAATTTCATTGCGTGAGTTCTTTTTAAATTAATGTTGAGTTATGTTCTGTTTATTATCCTGTTTGCTTACGTTTCCCATCATTTTCCAGTTGTCTGCTTGAATTCTGTTTTTCAATAGTGATTTAGCAACTGATAATGTGTATTGATTTCAGTTTTGCTTCGAATTTACATTTTTATCTCTTTGGTTGATGTATTTGGCTTAATCATTTTATTATTATAAGCAGTTGTACAATTTGTTAATTTAGCTAGATGATTAAATTTGGCTTCTAAAGAGAGTTTGTTTTAGAAAATAGTCCCTGAAGGATATTAGTGTTTGGCATTTCCAACATGTCTAAGGAGCTGGTCTCTTAAAGATAACTAGAAATGTAACTCTAAATTCTCGAAAGTGGTTTTGTAATTTCAAACCTCTGACTCTATGGAGCTATATATTCCAGTAGGTGGTGCAAATCGACTCCATTTCAAATGGAAATGTAATTTAAACTTGTGATGTAACTGTTTTCACTGTAAAAATAATATTTCAACATGTTTCTCAGCTGCAAAATTATTTTCCTCTCTTCCTAAAGGAAGCTTGATTTACCTTCTCAATGCTCATTTTTCTTATGGCTTATTTCTCAGGTATCATTCTGATTATTGCCGTTACAGGAGAGATGAGAGGAAATTAGAGGGGCTAAAAGAACCAGAAGACCTGTTAAAACTCATGAATACAAAGAAAAGTCATTTGCTTCTGTGCTTCAATTCCATAATAAAATGAGTACAATGTCAGTATCAGTGTTCTAATAGTTTTTATGTCCACATGATGAATTGAATGCCATGTTTTGTCTTTTGTAAAAATTGGGATTATTTCACTTCTAGGAGTCTGGTATCCTCACACAAGCACAGAAAATATGTATTCAAGGATACTCATGGCAGCATATTTTTTAAATTAATTTTGTTTCATCTCAGTCATATACGTGCACAAGAGGCAGCAAAGTAGCATGAATTAAGAGCAGGGCCTCTGGGCAGCCTGCCTGCGACGGAGGCCTTAATCACATGGGGATCTCCGTTTCCTTTTCTGCAAAATGCAGATCCTCACAGGTACCACTACAGCATCACGGCGTTGGTAGGAGGATTACATGAGCAGATATGTCAGTGTGCAAAGCATGGCTGGCACGCCGTAAGCAGCGTATCAATGTTAACTGCACCTCTAAAGTCAAAGAACACTGAAAGGCTCGCAGTGAAAGGCAGCCTTCTCTTGCAGTACTCCTCCAGCTCCGGACATCACTTCCGGTGGTAAGCGCTCACAACTCCTCTCTGCTGCTGTTCCTGATGGTCACCACCATAGCTTTAAATAGGATTCTTACACAGCTATTTTTTAAACCACTTTAACAATTTTAGGTGTTTAATTCACTGACAAGTTCATCTACAATGTCATGCAATCATCACCACTATCCCTTTCCAGAACGCTTTCATCTTCGTAAACAGAAACTTTGTCCACATTAACCAATAACTCCCCATTCCCCTTTCTCAGCAGTGCCTGGGAACCATTACTCCACTTTTTGTCGCTACGAATTTGCCTATTTTAGGCATCTCATGTAAGTGGAATCATACCATATTTGTCCTTTTAAGACTGGCTTATTTCATTTAGCATAGTGTCTTCAAGGTTCATCTACATTGTACAGAATTTCATTCCTTTTTAAGGTTGAATAATATTCTATTCTCTGTGCATGTAACATTTTGTTTCTGTTCATCTGTCGATGGACATTTAGTTTTCTTCTGCCTGTGGTGACCGCTATGCACATAGATGTACAAATATCTATTCAAGTCTTTGTTTTGGGGCAGCTCTCTTTTTGACGTATCTGTTCTTACATTATCTTTTTCCTTCTAGGCATGGTGAATTAGATAGACAAGGACTCAATCATAATCAACTCCCTGCCTTTCTATATACACACTCCCCCTTCCCACTCGCACATAGCTTTGGTTAAAAAAACAATGTTTTCTCTATTTAATGAAAGTCAAGGTGCCCTTACCTTCCCTGGGACAGAAGGGACCAGGGAGGAGATGGTGTTTCTGGAGCCGGGGGAGAAGCAGAGGGGACCAGAGATGATGAGCGAGACTATGCCCGGTGCCAGAGCCAAAAGGAAGCAGGGAAGAAAGATCCTGGCTTTCCCCTCCTTTCTCTGCTCCACCTCCAGCTCAAACCAACTTGAAAGCCAGAAGGCAAAGGCACCCAGGCCATGCATCTGCAGGGCCCAGGAGGTGAGAATGGACCAAGGAAGGAGGCCAAATGGAGCCCACCTGCACCCTTCCCCTCCTGAACTGCCCTCTCCATCGCCGACTCCCTGCCAGTGCCCCTGGCCCCTGCTGCCGGCAGGAGGACCCCTTCCCTGAGAGCAGCCTCACTGTGCACGTGGACCTGGCAGGGAGGCTCGCACACACCCGCGCTCAGAACGAGCACAGAAGCTTCTCCCAAGGCCAAATAGAAATGGCTTTTGGATTACCCGCCATTTGGGAAGATTATCTGCACCACTGCTTCCGTCCATTACCGAGGAGAGCCAGGAGGTATCTGGACTGTCCTTGGTGTTCCGGGATGACCTTGTGGAGAGCTGATTACAGTCTGTGTGCGGAAACAGAAGACGCCTGCCTGCCATGCTTTTCCTCACTGGTTCAGCAACGTTTGATCTCTGGCCTGTGGCTGGCACCCATATTAAAGAGCCTGTCATTGCTTCTGATTTTTCTTGGAAGATCAGAATTCAGACTGCAGCAAGGCTTTTCCACCAGAGCTGTAGAGAATCCATATTTGCCTTTGAGCCTTCCAGGCTTCAATGAAATACTTGACACCCCTTCTCCAGAGCACCCCGCTACCCTCATCCCAGCTACATGCCTCCTGGCCATACTCCCACACCCCCAAACCATTAGAAGGACAGCTACCAACACAGCTGCAGTGGTCTGAGCAGAAAAGAAAATGAGAGCGAGAGGCAGACTCCAAGGTCAGGACCTGCGAGAATCTGGGGTTGATTAGGGGTCATTGATTAGGGGTCTTCCTGGTGGGCTCCTTGGGTTTGCACAGAGACCACGTCCTCCACCATAGCCTCTCATGCCGCAAAGCCCTGACTCCAGGACTCACTTCCAGAGCCTCTGAGCTGCACCCACCCCAGCTGTAGTCCCGTCCATTTTTTATGTCCTAGGCCCGTTTCTCCTTCTCTCTCCACCACCACTGCCTTCCCACATAGGCACTATTGTTTATAGATGAGAAGCTGATGCACGAAAAGGTTAACCAACTTGCCCAGTGTGGTGCATCTGATAAGCGGCAGTGCTAGGGTACAAAACCAGGCTGGCCACCCACAGCTTGTGCTCTTACCTCAGGGTACCGCTGCCCCCAGGCCATGGCTCCGTGGGCTCCTTAGGGCTTTTGCTGCTTACTTGCCTGCCTTTCCTTCCCTCCTTCCTTCCCTTCCCTTTCCTTCCTTCCTTCCTTCC